CCGACTACTACTATAGGCCAATCTGATGAGCCTTCGGTGGTAGCTGCAAATTCAGCAGACATGCCTTCCACTGCAGCAGGGCCTTTTACCAATACAGCTACCATGCTTCCACCTCCATCTTCAGGGCCTTCAGCATCAGTTCCCTCCACTTCGATTTTAAGGCCGGTGCCTATGCCTGCTCATCCATTATCTGCGCTGCGAGTCTCCCAGACATTGGCGAGCCTGAACAACTGGATGCAGACAGCTACTGCAAAGCTATCTGACTTATCCAATGTTGTTGCAGCAGAGACATCTACCACGACACCCCAGATTCCTCCGACAATGGAGGATACATTGAAGAAGATTTTGGAGAACCAACAGACCATCATGACCACTTTGGTGGCACACGGAGCAATAATTGAGGATCTTGGGAAGCGGGTAAAGAAGACGAGGAAATCCCAAGCATCCAAGAAATCAGTAGACAGATTGAGGAGAGAAATCACCAAGATAACAGCCGCTGGAGACCTTCCATTTGATATGTTGATGGAGACAAATCCAGCAGCACCAGTAGACCCAACAGAACCATCAGCACCACTGGCACCAGCTGGCCAGTCTGAGGAGCTAGACCTAGCTGCTGACACTGCTGAGGCGTTGCGACAGATGTTCGCCAACCCAGCCACTCCCCAAGTCGAGGATGATGAGATCCAGTTAGAGGAGGCTGAAGACAGTGACATTGCTATGGACACAGAGATGTCCAAGACCACATAGGGAGTCCTCTTTACTCTTACCCTTCCTTATTCTTATTTTGTTAAGCATTAGGGACAATGCTTATTTTTATTCGAGGGGGTGGAGTTTATTTGATATTTAGATGATTTGACACTTAGTTTCTAATAACAGATTACATTTTCCTTTTTCTTTTTATTATGTACATTTTCCTCTCTCTCTCTCTATTGAGGTATATATTTTCTCTCTTCCTCTCTCATTTTGTATATTCATTTTTGCTTTCAGTAGCTTGCTTTGTAGCTTCTTTATTTTGTTTTCTTAGTAGTCAATGTTTATTTTAATAGCTTCTTGTTTACTCTAATAGCTTCTTTTTAATCTAGTAGTTTCTTTTCATGTTTAAGTGGACAATAAGCCTTTGGTTTTCTTAATGGCATGGTTCTATCCAAAGGTAGTTTTTGAATGAACTAGGTGACTCTTCTCAACGATGGATGGCGTGACAACTTTCTTTAGGGATTGAGTCCATTTTGGTGTTAGGTAAGAATAGTAGTAATAATGAATAAAAAGACCTAATTGAGTCAGACTCAAAGAGTCAAACATACTTTACTTGGTACCAACACACTTAGCGACGTGCTTATGATTAAAAACAAGTTCTAGGAAAGAAATAGCTCTAGTTAGTGACCTTGTGACTCTTGTGTTGACTTAAGCAATTATCGAGTGGTTTAGTCGAACCATTAGTGATTTTCAATGTTGAATATGGTTCTTGTGGGCCCTCGACTCTATCCTCTCTAACAATCCAGCTGTGTGAGGGTGAGATGTTTTTGTTGAAGGTCCAAGTACCCGTGCGAATGGTCTAGAACTTGCCCTGAATGTGTTTCTAGGCGAAATTTTAAGTTTTGCTTGGCTTGAGAAGTGATTGTAGGCTCTCCTTGACCCGCTTGAAATTTCCATGTCCCACAACGTTGTTATCCCTAGTAAACCCATTTGAGCCTAAAACCTTTCTCATTTGATAACCATGTTACAAGCCTTTACCTGTTTCGTAGTGACCCTTTCTTGGCACCCGAGCTTTCCTTAATACTATCGTGAATCAATTGGCTAAAAACATAAGTTTGGGGGAGAGACGAAAAGTTTGAAAGTGGTATCAAGGAACAAAAGTAGAAAATAAATGAAGAAAATGAAAGGAAAAGAAAAGGAAAGAAAGAACAAAAAGAAAAATGCAAAAAGAAAGTGAATAAGTTGAAGAGTTAAAGGGATTCAAAGAAAGGTAACGATGCAAAGCATGGAGAAAACAAAGAAGGAGAAAATGAATATCATGACCAAGAAAGAGTGATGTTAAGTGTCTCTAGTTCCCCTTAGGAAAAAGAAAATGCCTCAAAGAGTCAGCAAAACATGAGTCGAAAAGAGAAAATGGAGTGCTTAAGCAAAGATGAACTCGTTCTATTTCAACATAACCAACCTTTGTCCAAAAGACTTCATTGAATTCTGAAAAAGCCCTGCGTGATTTCAAGCCGAGTGAACTTACATTAGTGGTGATCTATATGAGGGGCTAAGCATATGGTACTTAGAGCCTACTTGTGACATTCTTTTGAGAGAGATGAGCAAACTTTTCACAAATCCTTGAATTGAGTGCTACATTCTTAAGTGAGATATGCTAACGAAGAGTAGAGGAGGAGGAGTTGGGATCCACAATGACCTACATAAAAGAGTGAGCTTCCTTGATGAATAAAGTCAACTCTTGATGCTCAAGTGTCACATTAGAACTATTTGTGCTTAAAAGTTCAAATCATTGCCTTGTTGAAAATTCATAAGTGTCGTGGGTAATTGTTGGTCTCAATTGATGTGTGATTGCTGCATCCTTGATTAGCTTAAATAGCTCTTAGCATGTGGAGGTGGGAATTACCTTATTTTCTTGAGGACAAGCGAAGGCTTAAGTTGGGGGAGTTGATAAGTGGGGATTTTGACTACTTATTAGCGCCTTTTAGCTTTCATCCTAGTCCAAAAGCGTTTAATTGTGTTCCCAAATACTGATGAAATATGCTTAATTGCATGTGTATTGGAAAATGAGCCACTAAGATGAAATCCAACTCAAGAAGGAGTGATCTAAACTCAAGGACAAAAGCAGGCATAGAAGCTCAAAGTGCGGACCGCAGAATATCATCTGCGGCCGCAGATTGTGAAGACAAGCTTATCAAAGAGTTTGCATATCGAGTTCAAAGGAAGTGCAGACCGCACAATTATTATGCGGCCGCAGAAGATCAGCTACGCGGCCGAAGTGGTATTTTTACGGTCTGCAGAAGAGCCAGGTGAAGCCGCACTCAGAAATGTACGGACCGCAGAAAATGAGAGATGCGGCCACGATTCAGAATTGTGCGGCCGCAAGATTCAATCCTGTTAAGTTGAAGTAAAGTGCGGGCCGCACGTGGAATTGTGCAGCCGCAGAACCTCTGAAAGAGCATTTTTATCCAAAAATTCCAGCTTTGTATAAATAGAAGAGTTTCACTTTTTTAGGTCAAGTTTTCAATATCAGCAGCCACAGTAGATGTTTTTCTTTACCCTCTTTAGTATTTTTTGCCATTTTGAGCTTTGCGAACATAGATTTCAATATTTTAATTATCAATATGTGCTTAATTATCATTTCTATCTATTTCTTCTGTTTTAGCATGAGTAGCTAGATTTTCACTAGGGTTGTGATCCAACCCTGGAGTGTAAGTTTACTGGGTGTTTGATTTATTGTTTGTTTATGGTTGGGTGTTTATTATTTAGCCTTGTTCTTGCTTTTAATTGTAGAATTAATGGTTTCAAACATTAGTTCATACCTGTTTGACTAGGTCTCTACTTGAGAAAGAGAGACATAGCCTAGGAAACTTGGCTAACAAGAAATTGGGGTAAATCAAGAGATAGATAGTCCCAATTAAAGGGTTGAATCGAGAGATAGTAAAGCCCGACTTGAGCTTTTTATCAACCGTTTTGTTCAATACCCATTTGGACTTGAGAAAGCCAAATGGGGCAAAATCAATCTCTGACCGAGAGGTATTGAGTGGGTACTTGAGTGGTGATAGCTATAATCACCCCGACCAACAAAACAAGATTTAAAGTTTACAACCCGTTAGGCAAACACCTAGGTGAAGGTCATAGCCCTAGGTCTTTTACATCATTTGAAAAACAACAAAAACAACTTCCTAGTTCTAATTCTTAGTTGGTAATCATAGTTTAACTTAGACTCAAGAACAACCCAATTCTGTGGAAGTGCAATTTGATATAATTCAAGCTCATTCACTAAAGTATATACTCCTAAATCCCATTCATAGCACCTTGTGGAAAATCAACCCCGATTCCTTGTTGTGTATTACCATTGCATCGACCGTTTTATGACCTCAAATAGAGGTGTGACTTGGACAAGATCACATGTGGAAGGGAGTTATATCTGTCTTGTACACCTTCTGGGAGCACCCAGTTCAAACTTTTGAGAAAACTTTCTTGTGACCACGATGCCAGTGTCAACATCATTGTGTATGGGTGGCCACTTTTTCTTCAAGTACTTGTCAAATCCCAAAGAAGCGATATTTAGAAGCATCCCCAGCTCCTCAGCATCAAACTCAATTTCAAACCCCCCTATAATACTTTTGACTACCTTCCCATCAAATTTGAAATTGTATAGAACACCACCAGAGCAGGAACACATACAGGAGGGAAATCTTTGACAAATATGTTCTTCAACCCCTGTAACTCAAGTTTTTCTACCAGTTGAGCCATCCCCTTCTCATTAGTGTTTGTAAGAATTCCCATTAATCACTTTTCTGTTCCCGAACTCTATGAGTCTATCAACTGCTTCTGGCACATTCTATCTTGTCTTTTCCCTACTGGCCCTTGCAGAAGGGGTAGCAGTTTTTATAATTTTGGCAACCTTTCTCTTTGGTGTAGAGGAAATAGTTGGCAAAGCAGACCCAGACTCATCTTCTCCATCCAGATCAACCATAGGTTCCATAATCGAGACCTTCTTCGTCGGCTTCTTTGCACTTCTGGACTCCTTAATGACTTGTTCATCAACAGCCTTTCTTTTACTCCTTGTAGGAGGAGTCCTGACAGGAGGGGACACTCCTTTCCTTGTTGGGTTTCTTCCCTTCCTCAGACAATGGCAAGTCATCTTTATCACTACTAACCTCTTCATCTCCAGTGAAAGGAGTTAACAGAGGACCAGGTTCTTGAGTCCTTTTCTCTTCACCGGTTTCTTCTGAAGGGGCTATGACGGTGTTTCGAATGGTCATAGAGCCTTCATATTCCTCACTCAAATTCTCATTCTCTTACTCACTCTGTTCATCCGCTCCTTCACTCTCACTTACTTTTTCTTGATCCTCACCCTCACTCTCAGAATTGGCCTCATCTTCACTATGATTTTTTTCTTCTATAGAATCATTTACTTGTTCCCCTACCTTATCATCCATATCACTCTCCTTCTCATCTCTGGATGCTCCCTCATTCTCACTATTTTCTTCTTCATTAGCTATGTCTTGAGCTTTATGCTCCTCATGACTGTCCACAGCTTCTTCTTATTTTTCACCCCCAACATCATCCTCATCCTTCGTCCAACCATCATATGCCTCATTTTGTACTGGTTCCTTAATTCCTCCCCCCCCCCCCACCCTCCAACCACAGGCACCACAGTAGTAGTATCTACCTATTTCCCCTGATCGCCTACACCATTTTCTATAGTAAATTCCTCCACTTGTGGTTTCTCACTCGTGGGTGGGAGAGTGTCTAAGGGTTCAGCATCTATAGCGGATACAAAAACATCGAATTTCGAAGGAGGATTTTGCACCGATTAGCCGTGACACGCACGAATTCCCCCTGAACAACAGATTCCTTGACCATCGTGTCTACCTGAGTAGCAGCATCAGGCTCTTTCTTGATAGATTTTCTTGGAGTAGCCTTGACCTTGGTTGACTTAGAGGCATTTTTTGCAATAGGCGCGGGTGCGTGCGTGGGTGGTTTTGGAAGTGGGGGTGCAGTGGAGGTGGAGATGGTGAGAGCAGCAGGAATAGGGGATGATGATGTAGGTACAGTAGAGGATATCGAAGGAGAAGGAGCAGGTGTAGGTGTGGGTTCACTTGATGGCTTGACATTTTTCTTTGATTTGGGCTTCATGGTTTTGGACCTTGGATGATAATTTGGCTTTAGAGGGGGTTTGGCTGGATTTAGGCATGGTTATCAGATAAGAGATTCGATGAAGAGAAGGAGAGAATTGGTTCTTGATATTTGCTCTTGATTCTTGCTTAGGGTTTGAGAGAAACAGTAAGGTCTGAGGAGCTGATCATAAGGGCCTTTTAAAGACGTTGCTCTTAATTTGACTGGAAGAGATAAGGTGACCGAATTTGAGTTCTAAAGGGACTTTTATAACATTTACGTTGACTGTTAGGATTTCAGGAGTAATTCAACTCTAATTGACTCTTTGACTAGAAGACCACTAGAAGCGATGCCACCAGAATTTGAAGTCTGAGCATAGAAATAATTCTAGGATATTAAGTCCCAGTGAATTAAGACAACATGGCACGTACCTGAGTCGAAGAACCAACTCCTTGGTAGCTCCTTACTTGTTTCTGCAATAAAGCTTCAACACTTCACATTAGTATCATGCAACATAGTTATCAGCCTGATTTTCCAAGCAAGTGTGTGTGCTTAATAAAAGCACAGATCTGAATCAAACACATTGTACTTAATTATCTACATCTATATTATACCTTTTCTAGCCAATCACTACGGTTCAACTTAGTTGGAAGAATTGATTTGACATAGTTCTAGTCTGTTCTTTTCAAAGTGATCCCTACTCAGAGCTTTAGTAAAAATATCAGTAATTTGATATTTAGTTTTTAAAAAGTTAATTGAGATATTTCCCTTTTTAACATTGTCTCTGAGAAACTGATGTCTAATGTCGATGTGCTTGGTTCTCTTATGCCGACATGTATTTTTAGCAATGTTTATGCACTGGTGCTATCACAAAAAAAGGGAACATAATCAACAAATATACCATAGTCCCTTAGCTGATGTCTTATCCATAGCAACTAAGCACAGCAGGATGCTGTTGCCATATATTCAGCCTCAGTTGTAGATAAGGCCACTGAGTTTTGCTTCTTGGTTCCCCAAGAAACTAGACAAGAACCTAAAAATTGAGCTGTTTCAATAGGTGTTTAATGAGTGGGTCGGGCCGGTCCGGGTTGAGAAAAAAGGTGACCGACCGGTTCCAATCTGGGCCAGTTACCGGTTTTTTCAAATCAGGCTTACCGGGACCAGGTCCATCTGGGTAAAAAATGAACCGAAAGGGCTACGAGTCCAAGGGTTCGGGCCAGGCCGGGTTAGTGTTATTTTATTTTATTTTTTGTATTTTGTATAACTATCGTAATTTATATTAATATAAAGTAAAAACATAAAATAAAAAAATAATCTTATAAAAAGAGTGTTTGAATAAAAGGATGCAAAGGCTTTAAAATCTTTATATTTGAAATTTTGAATATTTCATTCAGAATTTAAGATAATATAATACAATGAAGATGGAAAAAGAATTGCACTTATAATTTGCAAGTGCTTTTTTTATTTGAAACTTACAAATTAAAGTTTACATTTAACAACAAGTAAATAAACGAAAAAAGAGTAAAACTAAATTTTCATTGTATAATAATGCTTCAAATTAATCTAACAAACTAAAATATTAAGCATAAATACGTCTAATAATTTAAAAATAACACAAATTGTCTCAAATCAACTTAAATAAAAAATTTTGGAGGATGCTCAAGACAACTCTTCATATGCCTCCTTAAACAGCCTGTGCCCACACACTTTAGACGAAGATTTAAGACTAGACCACAGTTCTTGCCCTTTACTTTGTGAACTTCTTCATTTTCTTCTACCACCTCAAAGTGTTCCCAAACATATGAGCGCACTATTTAAGTACGGGGCATGACTTAACTTGAATTGAGAATTTGAGTTTGAGAATGAGAGATGAGAGAAGAAATGAAGAAGAGGGGGAGTATATTTATAGTTTTTCAAAGGCTAAATTAGTAATTATTAAAAGTGTTATTTATTAAAAAAAATTGCCCAAAAAGGGCTATTCTTGCAATCTACCCATTGGGCAACGGCCAAATTTGAAGCTGACAGTTGCCAACGGTCATATCCCTTTAAAAAAAATCAGATTTTAGCCGTTGAACCGGTTCGGGCCGGGCCAGTTAATCGGTTCAACAGTATTTTTCGTTGATCGAGTTTGACCGGTCTGGTTAACTGGACTTTTTTTTTAACAGACCAACCCCCCTAACCCAGTCCACCTGTCCCCTAACTACCGGTCCGGGCTGGTTCGGATTACAACCGGTCTAGGCCGGTCCGGAAACGGGTCAACCCGGCCCATTAAACAGGCTTAGCCGTTCCTGAAGTACTTTTCTTGTCAATAACCTGCATAGTCAGCATCAGCATAACTAACTAAATCAAAGCTATATCCTTTGGGATACCATAGGCAGAGGTCAGGGGTCCCCTTGAGATATCTTAGTATCCTTTTGACAACCTTCATGTGAGATTCCTTGGGATTTGCCTAAAGTCCTGCACATAATCCCACACTGAGTACTATATCAGGCCTGCTTGCTGTGAGGTACAATAGTGACTCAATCATTCCTCTATATAGTTTCTGTTCAACATTTTTCCCTTCTTCATCAAGGTCCAGTTTTGTTGCAGTTGCAATGGAGTGCCAATAAACTTAGAGGAGTCCGTGTTGAACTTCTTTACTAGTTCCTTGATGTATTTCTGCTGATGTATCATGGCTTTGGTAGGTGTTTGCTTGGTTTGCAGCCCCAGACAGAAGTTCAATTCACACCATCATGCTCATTTCAAACTCATTTTCTATCATCTCAGCAAATTCGTTGCACATTCCTTTATTGGTAGCCCCAAAGATAATGTCATCCACATACACTTGCACAATCAGAATATTCTTCCCTCTACTCCTTAGAAATAGAGTGTTGTCCACCTTTCCCTTTACAAAGTTGTTGGCTAAGAGGAACTTTGAGAGTCTTTCATACCAAGCTCTTGGAGCCTGCTTCAGTGAATAAAGAGCTTTATCCAACTTGAACACATAATTAGGAAATTCTTCACTTTCAAATGCAGGAGGTTGTTTGACAAACACTTCCTCCTTCAGATAACCATTCAATAAGGTACTCTTTATATCCATCTAATACAAGGTGAAGTCCATGTAAGAAGTAAAGGCTATCAGCATTCTTATAGGGCCCATTCTAGCTACAGGTGCAAACGTCTCATCATAGTCAATGCGCTCCTCTTGATTGTATATCTTAACCACCAGTCTGGCCTTGTTACTTGTGATATTTCCTTGTTCATCCAGCTTTTTTCTGAACACCCATCCGGTACCTATGACAGTTCTGTTCCTGGGTCTTTGTACCAAGTGCTACACCTTGCTTCTTTCAAACTGATTTAGCTCCTCTTGCATGGCTATAATCTAGTCTGGATCCTTTGGGGCTTCTTTGATGGTCATAGGTTCAACCAGTGAGAAAAATGCTATGAGTGCACATAGATTTCTTAGAGAAGACCTAGTTTGCACTCCTGCATTTGGATCAGAGATGATATTCTCAAAAGGATGTGAACTTTGATGCTTCCATGGTCTGATCTGTATAACCAGAGAAGATTCATCCAAGGAGTGACCCAAAGGAACAGGTTCAATGGGTGTGTCTTCATCAGTCTGGTTAGTAGTCAGGGTAGTTCTTTCTTCTTCTTATTCCATATGATCACTGTCAATTTCCTTGTGGTCTTCGGATTCATCTTCATACTTAGGTTCAGGTTCCTTTGTAACTCAATCACCAGTGAGTCCTATGTCATAATCTTTATCCTGCAGGCCTTTCTCAGCGAAATTGTTAGATTCATCAAAGTTAACATGAATATTTTATTCCACACACATATTTCTTTATTAAAAACTCTATAGGCCTCACTATGTGGAGAGTAACCCAAGAAACTCCCCTTATCACTTCTATCATCAAAATTACCTAGAGCTTCTTTCCATTATTATGTACAAAATATTTGCACCCAAAGGCTCTCAAGTGAATGATGTTTGGTTTTCTTCCTCGAAGTAATTCATAGGGAGTTTTCTGAAGAATGGGTCTGACCATGCATCTATTTAGCAGGTAACAGGCAGTATTGACTGCCTCAGCCCAGAAACTCTAAGCCAATCCACTAGCAATCAACATGGTCCTCCCCATGTCTTCTAGGGATCTATTCTTTATTTTTACAGCCCCATTTGTTGTGGAGTTCTAGGTGCAAAGAAAATATGGTCAATACCATGTGAGCTACAGAACTCAAGGAATTTGGAATTTTCAAACTCAGTTCCATGATCAGTTCTTATACTTAATACATTGCACCCCAATTTTTGTTGAATCATTCTGACAAATACACAGAAAACATCAAAGGTTTCATCCTTAGATCCCAAAAATAGAGTCCATGTATACCTGGAGAAGTCATCAACAATCACCAAAACATACCTCTTACCTCCTCTTCTCCTTACTCTCATTGGTCCACAAAGGTCCATGTGAAGGAGTTCTAGAGGTTTAGAGGTACTGAAAACCTTTTTAGATTTAAAGGATAACCTTACATGTTTCCCTCTAACACAAGCATCACACACCTTGTCAGAGGAGAGCTCAACTTTTGGTAGACCAAGGACCAAGTCCTTTGCTGTCAACTTGTTGAGTTGGGATAGACCGGCATATCCCAATCTTCTATGCCATAGCAGTGGATCATCTTCCACTACACTCAAGCATGTGTGCTCACTCTGGGGAAGTGTCAAAATCGATATCTTGTAGACATTGTTATGTCCCTTACCCTTTAGCACAATTTCATCAGTATCAAGCTTAGTGACAGTGTAAATTTTGGAATTAAATATTACCTCATTACCTTTGTCGCACATTTGAGAGATGCTAAGAAGATTGTGTTCAAGGCCTACCACATAATACACATCTTTTATAGCATGCGAGAGTGACTTACAAACCTTGACAATACCTGTTATCTGGCCCTTTATTCTATTTTCAAATGACACACTCCCTCCTTGGAAGGTTGTCAGTGAGAGAAAGTTTTTCTTTTCTCCAGTCATATGTCTTGTGCATCCACTCTCT